GACAACTATATTTACTAATGAATTTTGGTAATTCATCTACATATGAGAATAAGAAGTTCCTCTAAAATGAAAACACAACAAGAGAAAAAAATTATACGTCCAGTTTTGTTGTTATTTTTCATATTAAAGTTTCTAACCTGAAAGTGCGCTATCTGGAGAATCAAACTATATATTGTATATGAACACATCGCTGTATGTACCAAACGTTACTTATAATAGCAGATCATTCTACTATGTAAGCCATCCGAATGTACTTCACATTCTTTACACACTCACTGCCATTTTAAATAATGGAAAATATTGTTTTAATGAAGAGAATATTTTGTTTGAATAACAATGGAAAAGATGGTCCGCTTATAGGGCTTTCTTCAATTCCAAAAATTAAAGAAATTTCTGTCGGATGGCAATCGCTTAATCTAATTTCAGCTCCTACCGTAAAGTCGTAGCTATGTTTGGATTCCGCTCTTCATTATGTTTTGTGAACTCTGGAGCTTTCTGATGCCTTGGGAATTACAATCAATTAATTTTTTTGAGTGATATCTTAATAGTGTATGAATAACATATTCAGTTAAATGTCATTCAAGAGTTCGATGGATAATATTGAATTCAACTAGCATTCATCTGGTTCGTGACTATCAATATTTCGTACTCACTAATTAATTTAGTTATTATATATATATATATAATATATATATGTAAAATATATATATATATATATATATATATAATATATATATTTTTTTTTTCACTTAAGAATAAAATAAAATTTTTTAGGAGTTACGACTTTAGTTCATAAGTGTTAAAGTACTTACATCCGTGATTCCGTCTTACTTTATCCATCTCCATTTAAGTTAATCACATTAAAAAATTCAATATTTAATTCTTTAGCGCGTCATAGTTGATATGATCGAGCTATTAAACGCATTCAACTTCATAATGAAAGTCTCGCAATCCAAGATGGCAACATAATTAATGAAATATATGATTAAATGTCTTGAAAGACTTGTACTTGTTTCTGTTCTTATGCTTTAATTAGTCGGATTCACTCACAGCAAAGCCTCAATAAAGTTGCAGTAATTAGCGAAATCGCGACGTCACCACACGTACGAGTATTGACAACTGGTATGATTAGGAATTTATGGGTTGGAGACTATTAAGGAATTATTTTAAAGAGCTACATAAAAGTTACTAATACTCACTAATTTCATTAGCTGACAGTGTAAAGTCATCAATGTAAAGTAATTAATATATTCCCTCCTCTAAAATTGTCGAGAACTTATTATTTAAACGGATTTACTTAACAATTGTTTGCTCATATACAATTTTGATATTCCTTGATCAACGAATTAGTAAAAAAAAATTTTACTACTCCGAGTAGCATATTTATTCCACAAAAAAATTACGAGGAAGAAATCTGTATCGAAATTAGAGATATATAAATGGTAATGATTTTTTAAAGGTGACTATCTTCTATTAGATAAGTTAAGTTGCTCTAGATGCATAATCACAACTTTTAGCGTCAATAGTATCTGCATCTATATCTTTCAAGCATTTAACTAATAGGTGACGGTCGATTTTCCCATAATCTCACCACCATCCCATCTTGATTTAGAAATTTATTAATATATAACAATAAATTTTTTACACAAAACTCATACTATCTCCAATGAAAATTTTCACAAAAAGGTGGCAAACAGATTCCATAATGGTACCAATAACTGATGGCTGAGTTTCTTGACACAAATATTCGTAAATTTTATAAATCCATGTTGTTTATTTTAACAGTAAAAAATTTAGTCAATATGTGGAACACTTTTTTTTCCATTTGTTTGGAAATATTAATGTTAGACGGGTTTTATTTGGTATGCCTTAGCATTCACTATGCGAAGGATGGTTTCCAAGAAGGACAAGAACTTTCTTTACACCATTGTGACTAATAAAAGTTAGTGTTTTCAATATGATCCAGAAACTAAAAGTCAGCTTTCTAATTGAAAAAGTTTAAGTAAGGTGGTATCAGCAATTCAAAAGGATCTACTTAGGCCAATTGGCTCATTGCATTCCTATATAAGAAAAAAAGTAAGAGGTTTCAAACCATCTTGAACTTGTGAAAAAGCTTAAAATCCTATTACAAATTTACAAGCAAAAATTTATAAAATCTCGTTTGAGAAAGTGAAAACTGAAGTTGATGTTTTACTTTCGCGAGTCCAAGAATATTACAGTAAGGAATTCAGTTTCCGAGTCCAAAACTATTTTTTATCTTAGTGTTTTGTTCTGTCTAGTTTATCGTATTTGTCATATTTTGCCCAAGCGTTGTACAGATAGAAATTGGCATTAATTGCAAGATAATACGCCACCTCATCGATCAAAACCTTTCGAAAGATATATTGACCAATAGTAGTGTTTGAATAATAAAACTATCCATATATTTACCTGAGTTAGCACTATATAACTTTTATCTTTGTTCAAAAAATAATTCCCGCCGACTAAACAGAAGGCGTTTAGTCGAAGATAAAACTAAGTCCTAGACAAACAATCTGAAACAATCATTCCACGTACTTCTAGAACCAATTGCTGTATTGAGTTAGAAGAATTATTGATTTTATTTATCTTATACCTATATAGGTAAAAATTCTCTTTACACAGGAAATACCCTTGCATTTAGTTTTTATTGAAACAAGAAATTTTAAATAAGAGTTTTTTTGTTTTTTGAATGTATTTTTATTTATACGCAATATTTTTTGTTTTCTTACTCAACATACTAAACAGCTTTAAATCAAAATATTACCTACAAAAGATTTTTTTCAAACGAAATGTTATTTCTTTTAAATGTAACAAGCAGTACGTTTATATAAACCGCAATTTTTTCTTTCAGACTAGCAAAAAAACACCAGCACCATGCGAAAGAAAACATGTGAAGAAATAACAATGCTCTTAAAATCTTCAGAGTTAGGCTTTACATACTCACAAAAAATTTTGCGTCTTAAGTTTCAGTGCAGCCATACACAAAAATTAGTCTATTATGAATGTTCAATGGAAATATATTGTAAAATTCCAATCATCCGTTAAAATACGTCAATAAATAATATTTTCAATAAGAATTTTCTTTTTATATATTTAATAAAAAGAAAATTCTAATCATTGCCCATCTAATATTCATTTTGTTTTCTTTTATTTAAATTAATTTATTTTTAGTGTTTACATTTTTTGTACAAATACAACAAAAAACATATGCCAAAAATATGCATTTAATATATTTTAAAAATGATGCCAATTTGTGTCAACTAGACTTAATGCTGTTTTTTTACAACTTTAACAGAAAAAAATGCGTCTATAATCGCATTTTAATCCACCAATATGCAGCGAAGC